CCTCTAAACACGCGATAAATTACAACGCTCTGATAAAAACGCACCAGATCTCGACACGAGCAATTTTCTGAAAATGTATATAACCGTGCAGTTCTTGATTTGAATCCGTAACTAAGTGGTGACGATCAAGAAGAATCGCGGAATTATTGAAATAAGCGTATACATCGATCTATTTATTTCGTAAGATTTTTATCTGAGGAAAGCGAATTTTATTGCCGCTAGAGTGTCGAAAGAACGAGAAAAAGAACTACGAATACATTTAATCGCTTCGCAATCATGAACGAAACATCTGGCGACGCAATATCGTTCGTACGACGAACACGAACGAGTTACCCTGCGGCTAAATACCGTTTATACAACACCACGGATGAAGTATCTCGCCAGTCTATTTTTTTGTAATTACAACTCTTGTCCTAATAAACAAACACACGGGATATCTCGACCGTGGTCATTGTACGAACAATATTGTGTCGCAAGATACTTTGTTCGTGACAGCAAAACGGTTAAATAGACTCTCGTGAATTTATCATATTTTCCAAATATTGTTACTCGTTTAAACAAAATTTTATTGCGATCAGGAAGCCTTTACGTATCTCGTTAATCAAAGTCATGAAAATGTTGGTAAAAATTCGACCAAGCTTTAACCAAAACTTAATCATGATTTACAAAATATACATATGTATATTAGAATTTTAACAAACGTATCAAACAAAACCAACCCGGACGGGGCGAGATGAGACCAGGATGAAACCAGGATGAAACCAGGTCGAAACTAGGACGAAACCAGGACGAAAGTGGAGCTAGGCCAAGACGAAACCAGAGCTAAGCCAAGACGAAACCAGGACGACACCGTAAGACATATTAAACAAAATTTTACGATAAATATCGGTAAGTTAGACAATAATTTATCCGTGGTGTGATACGAATGATATTGTATCGCGAGATATTTCGTCCGTGACCATTGCACGAACAATGCCGTGAAACTGTTACAAAATAAAAAAATAAAAAATAATGCAACAACTGCTCAAACACAAAGTGAATCATTATCTTTATATATACAGTTCTAACATAGTTATATAGTCACGCACTGCAGCTTTAATTGCCTCGGGGCCTTTAGTCTCTAATTAAATTAAACTAAAAGAGTACCATCGTTTAACTGTAAAGGGTAAATAGCTCAACGGCAAACGAATTCACTCGGTTTTCCACTGTTGCATAATTTTCACGTTTCGTACACGAGACATTGTAAATTGTATTAAAAGCTGCAAGTTGGCCTGCAACGGGCGAGAAACTTTAAGACATAATTAAAATTCCTGACTTCTTCACGCCTTAATGCTAATCGCGTTTAATTACACGGTAAATAAATTAATCGGCCGATTTGTATCGACGTATTTTCGAAGATCACACGAAGGTACAGGGAGTCCGGACGGTTACACGACGAGGGAAGCTAAATCGATTATTAAATTACGATGGTAATTAAATGGCGGAAATCATGCGTTCTGAGAATTTCTCTATCGAAACTAATCGAAATACGTATAGGTAAATGCTTAAGCACAATGTAGGTCACGTGGAATTATCCGCGAACATATTCTATTTCGAAGAGCTTCTATAAATACAAAGACAGGTATCTTTCGCGCTGATAGCATGTCCTATTAGCATTGAAAATTCTTGAAAATGCTGAAAATAACGACGGTTAGAACGGGACAAAGTGATTGATCGGGGTCCGTTATTAATATCGGAATGTTCACTCACCATATCAGATGCAGGATGAACAGGAAAGCACCGGGCACGACGAGGTCGTCACTGCCGACGCTCCATCGGCGCCGGAATACCACGATACCAGGCATATCTTCTTCAGGATCCTTTGGTCGTTCCTATTTCCCATTCAATCAGCCAAGACGCTCAACGATCCACCGATCAGCGAGGGGTGCAATCACCGGCTTTCGTCCTCGAATCACCGAGCTATACGAACTTGAACTCTGCTCCGAGATCTCTTTGGAAATCGACACGAACGCCGGTCGCCTCGTCGAGGTCGTCGTCGACGCGCATTTCCGTAACTGTGTTCCGGCGGACCACGGATTCTCTCCATCCTCCTCACCAGCAAACTTTATCGGAAACCTCTCGAGCGCTGTTCCCCTCGAATGAACGAGCTTTCATTCGCGACACGACGACAACGCATCGCGTTCTATCCACGATGTGGAAACTGAATCACGTTGAAGACACTGTTTCAACTGAGTCGTGAATTATCTTACGGAGAAATCTCTTGTACATACCAATCGTCCTTACTGGATCTCAAAAGGAAAACGAATGCAACGATTAATGCGACGAAGCGCGCGATATTCGCTTAGATCGCGCACACACACCGCTACCGTGATATTCTTATCGTAAATGCGATAAATGTCAATCAAAAGATCGCGCACGATGGATCCTCTTCGGTAGAACGTTTCTTTCGATCTCCTTAGAGCCACTCAGATACTGACAATGTAACGCGAATTACGCAGGATAGCCTACGGCTTTGAATTTTGTCGAGCTGTTAAACGATTCAATTAATTCAATTTTGTTTAGATCTTGTATTCCAGCGATATTATTGATGAGGACAAAGTTAACGAATATTCTATTCGTTTTAAAAGATATTGTTTCGCAAAACCATTGTGAGTCACAGACTGATTTTACCTCCCTTAGGAGAAGAATACGCGTCGTAGAACAATGGAGGACAAAAAGAGAATACAGTTCCGTGGGATGCGGATGGAAGGAAACGAGATAATAAAGACATGCACATAGACTCCTACATATTAAATCATCTCCGATATTACAACTTTTCCATAGACAATATTTCTCCATAGGAATTTATGTATCATTTTTAGGGTCGAATGTTGCGATTATACGAAGGATAACATATAAATTATTTCCATCGGGTATGTACGTCAGAAACGAAAGTGGTTCACACTTTGAAAGGTAGCTGAAATCCTCGAGAATTCTCCGGAGATCGGTAAAACTTTTAAGCAGTGTTGGCACGCTTCTGAAATCATCCTTTCCATCCGCAGCCGAGAAGCGCAAGAATTTGATCAAACTAAGGGACGAGATCTTTTTACCGCATTCGCAGCAACTCGTTTAGCGAAATGAACGAAATCTACTAAGAGGGCTACAAGATCTTAAAGACCGAGCAAATTGTGAATGGAATTCTAAAAAGAGTGATGCGACGCTCTGTTTACAGCAATCGTAACTGCTTCAAAGGTAAACTTTTATAGAAGAAATTAAATGAAACCATGCTTTGTCACTACGTGATGAAAGATTCTCTTATTCTCTTATCTTTATTATCTTCTCTTATTTATTAATTTAATCGAAATTTAACAGATTAACGAATCTAATCTGCGCAATTTCGCCTACTGGAATTATTCTTAATCTCTAACTGATATCTTCATTTGTACGCAAGATCGATACTAATCAAGCTATCAATGTCTGCCAAAATAGCTATGCTTACTACTCACTCCGTAGACTGCAGAAAACCCGTAATATTTGCGCTTTAGAGTACTTTCATCGTATTAAAGACAGAAATCTATTTCTTACTGTGCTCCAATGAAAATCGTTTCGTCCTTGTAACATTGCTCTTACCATTCGTGTTTATCACGTTGTTCATCCAGACACTTTTCTATCGTCGAGCTGCAATAAATGCTCACGAACCGATTCACACGTATCACGATATTTTACCCCGAACATGAGTTCTTTTTATCACAATCTAGACTCCTATCCAACTTAGATTCCTTGAAACTGTTCATTTCTTTTTTTTTTTTTTTTTTTTTGGGGGCACGTTTCTACAAAGATTCGCCTTGTTTCACTGGAAGCGTCAAGATCCTTTGATGAATCGTATGGATCGCTTGTGCGATATGGTTCGCAGGAATAAAAGACACGAAGAAGCTGACTTTCCCCCGGCAAAGCCGATCGGCCGGCGTTACCGTCTACGATACCGCAACGCGTGTCCCTGCACCGCTATCATCATTTCTTTCCATGAAAAGTTGTTCAAGTAACGCAGTAATGCATTGATCGATGGATGCATTTTATTCGCGAAACTTTGAGCCTGAGCTACACCACGTGCCGAAAAAGCATCATATCGTGAATACAAGAGTGAAACGAGAAAAGCACATAGTTCCGCGATCGTCGAGGTGAGCCACCTCGAGCGCGACTGAGCACCAAATTTAAGCCATCGTGCACCTTCCACGGTTCTGAGGGCGCTCAATTTATGTTAACAGATGCGCGTGCGTCGCGACGCCTTTTGTGCGACAAGCGCTGCATCGCGTCCATCACTCGCTCCGCCTCATTTCCGTGACAGTCGTCGAACACCAACGATCAGTACGTCATCGTTTCATTTGTTTTAGTTTTTATGTCTATTAAATCAAAAGGATATTCGTAATTTTCCTTACGTGATATTTTTTCTTCTATTCCCTTTTTTATTTCATTGGAAATATAAGCTGGCTTATAGATAATATTTAATAATTAAGCTTCTAGATAATATTTAAGCAATCCTGTTGATAATGTTTATGACGAATAAGATAACTGAATAACCATTAGAAATTGAAAAAATTACGATGTAGTTGATATTTCTTAGATGTTCGGGTAACGACTAAGAATTAACATCTATAAACGAAAATAATCACTAATCATCCCTTGAGAGAACCAAAGTAAAACATTGATTCAGTTGAAAAAGAAATATTTTTTATCCGACTATCTTAAAATATTGTAAGTTTTGAGAATACAAAAAAGCTGTTTCATATGTAGGAAATATTTATTCTAAAAATATAGGGTATTTATAGTAACAACAGCTTAATACCCGCTTTTAATTCTTAACATATCTTGATGGAGATATCCGTAAAATTAACGAAAAATTAGAAGACATGTACCCGTAACTTTTTAATAACTTACTTATAATTATGTAAATAATTTTAATACAATTGTCTTCTTCTAACTATAAGAGGTTAAAATATTGTTGAAATAAACTCAGCGATATATATAATTTCGTCACTTCCTGCCGTAGATATTATATTACATTACATTGTACAATATAAGCTTAAAGTAGTGGTCTTCTTATTTTCCTAATTTTGTACAGAACCAAAATTAGCGTGAATGAAACATTAATTAGTTCTCAACGTTTACTAATTTCTCGCTCGATCATAGTTTTTTATATACCAGTCAACGGTATCTTTAATGGCTTGATTAAATGGTGTGAATTGAAAATTTGGTAAATATTTTCGTAATTTTGCATTGCTTGCTGTTTTTTTATACTGCCCATCGGCAGCAGACGTGTCATATACCAGCTTTCCTTTAAAATTAAAAGCTTGTGCAATTGCCTCAGCTACTTGAGAAATTGTAACTTCTTGGGATTCGTCAACTGTGTGAAAGATAGATAAATTTCAAATAACATATACCGATATATACCATATGTTTAATCGATCTTTTTGATTTACCTGATAATATAATTGGTTCCACAGAGTTATACTCTCTCAATACCCATATTATTAAGTTAGCTAAGTCTAAACTATAAATAAATTGTCTCAGTGGCTTCCCAGAACCTAATATGGTAAATACCTTATCTTCAGTATTTCCTAAAATATATACCAACAGATACCAACAATATTCTTTAAAACAATTGATAATTTATAAATATCTTATTGGAAAAATATTGTACCATCTTTTATTAAATCATAAAGTCTGCGTATTAAGCCTGGTATAACATGACTGGCACTGGGATGAAAATTATCATTTGGCCCAAACACATTGCATGGAACGATACTAGTATAAATTCTATGATACTGGTCATAATAACCTCTATTTTGAATATCTATAAGACGCTTGGCATAACTGTAACCATAATTTGATGGATGTGGTGGACCATTGTGAATCTAAGGAAATAAACATTAGATAATAGATATTAATATAGATATAATAGATATTAAGATAATAGAGGATACTATAGGTAAGATAAGAATATATAAAAAGCAAAGCCTTAAAAATTACTAATATAAAAGGGAATGTTACCATGGTTTCATCAATAGGATATGTTGTTTTATCAGGAAATATGCAAGTTGACAAACATGATATGACCTTGACAATGTCATTTTCATGAGCAGTTTGTAATACATTATCGTTCATGTGAATATTCCTACGCTAGAAATTTATAACATACATTTCCATCAATTTAAAAATAATAAAACAGGCATTAGTCAAGATGTTATTCCTTTACCAGAAAGTCCAAATTGTGAGTCATATTATGGAACAAGCCACCAACCATAGCAGCTAAATGAATAACGTGTGTAGGTTTATGTTTCTCGAATAATTTCTCTGTATCCTTTTTATCACTGGAAATACAATATATTTCACCTATAGCTTAACTAAGTAGTGTACTGATATATGACAATTAATAAATAATTTACCATAAGTCTGCATCTTTAGAACCTACAAATATCCATTTTTCATTTTCATTTTTATTTGTTTCGATGACATGTTCAATAGCTTTACCAACTAGTCCTGTTCCACCAGTTACAAGTATAATCTTTTTACCTTCAGACATGTTTCATGGAATCTATGGAAGCATTTAAATTTTTAAACTTGAACTTTTCCTTTATTTTTTACAGATTTGATGAAATTGAAAAATTTGTAAAAATAAAACATGATATTGACCATGTCACAATATGAGTTTAATTCTTTGATATAAAAAGTATGAAAAAATTATAAATACATTTGTAAATACATGTTAAATTACTTAAATAATAAAAGACAGAGTTAGAAAATGATAGCACAGTAACAATATGGTTATTAATCAAGTAAAAAATTTGAAATTCTTATTCTGTTCTTGGAGTCATTAAATATATTACATATTAGTACACTTTGACTGACAACTATTAATTTTGTAACTCACGCATAAAAACAAATACTTTGTTAGTATCAAACAAGTAGAATCTCTCTGGTAGAATAAATCACTTACAATAATTATATAAAAAAAACTGATAAAGACCAAGTTCGAATTGTACTACAATTGCTATAAGATAAAAACGTTCATATTGCCATCTGGCAACGAATATGGAAAACTAATATCTTATACCACAGGCGAAATATAATATAGACCTGACATACTATTTTCACTTCATATCACATGCGGTGTTATCGATTCAGCATGGAATAAGATTACAACCTGTAATTCCAATACTACCCACTACCAATGGTATAATCTTTTCCTACGTTGACTCCATACTTTCTTGTATATGAATCAATCGAGAAAAAGGATTATATATATATATATATATATATAATAAATATATATATATATATATATATATCATAGAATATGTATATTCTTGCGAACTTTGCTCGGCGTTCGAATGGAATTCTAGCAACAACTTTCTAGATACGTATTTCAATTTGCGTCGGTCGAATTACTCGCTACCGTTTGGAGGAAAAATTAGAGATACGTACGCGGTAGGAAGAAAGAAAATCGGTGATTACGCCAACTGTTTGCCAACTAACGCGCTAAAATTGCCTTTTGATAAAGTTCAGCCGTACGTACTGCTAAAAATGATTCACGGATTCCCGTCGTTTGCGTTTGTTGCATGCGCTTTTTACGACCATCCAAGTGACATATGCATCGATCTATGTTACGTACGTACGCGAGACTTCGAACGATCTTTACGTTGGTCACGGAAAATGATTCACATACGCTATAATAATACGCTCGAAAGGTGTTCTTTCACAGACGATCGTCGTTCGAGTTTCCTCGTCGGACACGATGTTTTTCCTTCGTATTTCTTCGTTCGATTCGAACCGATCGCCGTTGAACGGTTAAAACCAGAAGAAAGAATACGTTTATCAAAAAGTTCTGATAGATTATTAAAAGTATCAGGTACAAACACTGCCATCAGTCTTGATTAGTAGTCACCAACTTTCAAACAGTTGTAAATATTTTGTATTAAAGTAATTACAAAATATGAAATAAATTACACTGCCAAAATAGGATGTAACAATATCCCTACTAAAATATAGTAATAGAAAATGATATATATATAATATATATATATATTATATATATATCATTTTCTATTACTATATTTTAGTAGGGATATTGTTACATCCTATTTTGGCAGTGTAATTTATTTCATATTTTGTAATTACTTTAATACAAAATATTTACAACTGTTTGAAAGTTGGTGACTACTAATCAAGACTGATGGCAGTGTTTGTACCTGATACTTTTAATAATCTATCAGAACTTTTTGATAAACGTATTCTTTCTTCTGGTTTTAAAATTTCGGCTATTATCTTTTCGTCGCTTCTCCGTTCTGGTTTGCGCAGAAGCTCTTGTGGTTTATTGCATTGTTGAGTCACACAGGAATCACCTCCCGCCTCTTCAGCAACAGCATCTAGCTGTGCTACTTGAATCTCAGAAAAAGTAAGTCTTCCATTGACCTTACTTTCGGAAGGCACACGGGAGTCGGGTTCAAGCGCCGTGGAAATGGGAGATTGCAAGGATTCATCACCATTACCATCGTTTAGTTTTAAAACATTAGCTGCTTCTACATAAAGCTGTGTTACAACGTCAAAATTAGAAACTTCTCTTGCACGTCTTGACTCTAATCTTTTTATGACAACTTACTGCTTCGAATGTAGAATCTAGAAATAATTCTTGTAAAAATCGCCGTGCTTGCATCCTATATGTATTACTACCTAAACGAGCAGCTACATCCGAAAATAAACAAATATCCTATAACATAAAGCACAATTATGTATAAATAACAAATTAAACATATGGTTTTTTATTCTTGAAGCTATATTTATATGTATACCTGAAACCTTTCAGAGTGTAACTGTCTTAATCTAAGCAAGGTTTGTCGACTATTACGATACCATACAGGGTTTGCCAATCGCTGTGCATGCCTAAGTATTTTCCTATTCAAATAATACAGGTGTTATTAAAATTAATGTAACTTAGGTGTACTAAAAAAAGTCAGCATTCTAAACTTATAATATACCATTTTATGTAACTGTATAATTAATTAATGTTACCTCTGTAATTTTAAGTCTTTTTCTGGAATCATATCTTTGCTGCTACTTTTACCATGAGAACATACTAAACATATACGATAATGTTCTGCATCTACATCACATTCTGAACAAGATTCCTCATCTACTTCGGTCGTTTCTACATCTGACTTAGGTGCATCATCCAGTGTTATAGCTGGAACCGACAACTGTGGTGGTTCCGGAAATATAGTTATAAGTCTCTTTGGAAGCGCAATACCCATGTAAGATAAATTATCATGATTATCATCGGGAGGTGGAGGTGTTGGAGTGAGTACTTGTTCCGCAATCCAGTTGCGAGATGAATCAAATTCGGATAAACTTTGTAACGAAAGCCGACCGTCTAAACTATACATCTAAAATAAAATAAATTAATTTAATCAAATGTCCGGTGAAACGGAAGATTGATCTTTAAACATTCTTGCCTCTAAGCTACTTTGAGAATAACTAGGTCTCCGATGACGTTGTAAACTACGAAGTCTTGCATACCCCTCAGCATCTTGTTGGCTTAATCTTTGAATACTTGAAACAGGACTTGGTGTCTCTCCTCTTTCTCTGCAAAAATAAACAATGATAGAGAATGTTCTTAACGAATACAAAATTATTACTTAAAACATGGTTCTTACGGTAACGCATAGCGTCTGGCTTCGAGATCCGTAGCTGCACTTTCAGATCGATTTCTGGTTCTTCGAGCAACTGGTTCAGGTAATTCTGGCTTACCGTCACTGAGACTCCGATGATGTCGTTGTATAGGAATCGGACTCGGAGCTGGATATCTGTTCGTAGGAGGAACAACTGGCCAATGGTCTCCACGTCTGTGTCTAACACATGGCCAGTCAAATGTCGACAGTGCATCTGCACCTACACGAGTTGTAGCAATCAAACTAAGAGCATACATAGCTGTTGCTCGTACTATATAATATGAACACGTTTCCGCTATGGAAGATAACAATTCTATAATGCCTGCATGATTTAATTGTTCTACTCCTGCTGCTGAGGTTCCCATGTGACCAAGCGCCCATAGTGCGGACTTTACTTTTAAAATTCTTTTACTTAAGCTCGTTTGATCATCTCGAGATTCAGGCTCCAACCTCCAATTTCTTTCTAAGGTAGTTCGTCTGGAATCATCTAGACTTGTTTTTCGTCGAATATCTACTTCTAGAGAGTCAGCTTTTTGCGGATAACTTATATCCACGCTTTCCACAGTTTCTGAATCCATTATTGTCTCTAATCTATTTGATTCTACTGTTTCATCTGTACCAGATTCTTCAGACATAGCGCAAGCATCATCAATTACAGAACGATTAGTTTTAGTACATCTTGAGTTTGATTCCGAATCTCTGTTACCAAATTCTAGTCTAAATCTTTGAACAACACGGGTAAAACGTTGTATTACATTTCGACGTAATAACAGCTGCATACCTAAATCGTGTTGTACCAATTGACCTATTAAATGTGGTAGAATAAAAATGTTCTGTGGTGTCATGGGAACGTTACTTGTTCTTCTATGATAACTTCCTGTTTCGTTTCTTTGACGACGAGTTAAAGAATCATGTATTTCTCCTTCTATTAAACCAACATATCTCTCTGCAAAACCTCCTGGACTTATCCATTTTTCCAATTCCTCCGCAGGAGACGAAAGTGTTGTGAAACCCTGATGAAGAGAGTATAGTCGAATTTTCAGCAAGTAACCTTTATCGCCTAATTTTTCCAGCCATTTATCCCAATCCTGAAATTGCCCACCTTGTTGCAATAAAGCTTCTAAATATTCTGGTTCGTCGCAGGCTTCGTGTAATGCCTCTAACGCAGTTAGTGCTATAGTTTTATTGAAATCTGACAACCGTTCTGACAATAATGTTATTGCCCAACGATAGGCATCAGCCATTCTGGCTCTGAGTATCAATCGGAGGAACTGTGTCGCATATAGACGTGTACTGTCTAATGTAGCTTCTGTAATAATCTTAGTCAATACTTTTCTATTAGGTCCATCTCTAGAATAATCTAAGCTTGATATTATAAGTTTAACATAACAGTCGTGATTAGTAGCTAAAGCCAAATCTTGCAGCTTTCCTAATAATTGAAATTCTTTTAAAATCCTAGTTCCCTTTGCTGAATGGCTCAGTTGTCCAAGAAATAGAAAATATTTTTGACAGCAAGTAGTAGACATATGACGAGGTGAAAATAAACATTCATGAGCAGATTGAGCTGTTCGAATACTGGAGATTTGCTCATCAACATCCTCGATTAATTCAAATAATAATTTTGTACTCTCAGGTTCAGGAATTTCCAATAAACAATTCAATAAATCACAACCAGCTAATGTTGCTTCTCGTGCTAAATTAGCATTTGTCGCTAACTCCACTCTACTGTAACCATTGGAACATGGTTTAAAGTAACGTACAAGTCTTTTCATAAATAATCTGTGATCAGAATCATGGAGTATTCGCGCAGTATCTTCCCGTGAGCGTAATATAGATCGTACTACCGGCCAATTCCAAGCAAGAGCATCCTTGGAGCTGAGTACTTGCGCATCTTTCAAAAGAGGTGTAGTCGGTGATTCTCGACGTAACCAATGTCTACTGGATGTTCGTTGACGCCTTGGTAATGTCGGTCTTAACCACGTACCAGCTTGTAAAATTTTATCGAGAAATAGACTTGCTGGTGCCGGTCTTCGTCGCATCATAGTGTGCATTCGTTCCAAAATTGTAACAGCTGCTAAAGCTTGATGCTTTCCAGCACTTGCATGCTCTAATAAATTCGGTAAAGGAGGAGTAAGATCACATACTTCAGAAGGCAAAAGAGAATGTGCAAGATGCAGTAGTGCACCTAGCAAAACAGCTGCACGTACAGAAATAAAAGTATCAGTGGAAACAATAGTCTCTGCTAGAGCACGATGTAGACCACATTCCAGTAAAGCATATACCAATAGTGCTAAATGTATTTCTGTAATATTTGGACAACGTGATGATAAGGATGGTAGAATATATTTTC